ATTGATGTCCTGTTCACTTTTCAGCTTTTTTGTTTTTACTCTCTGTATTTCATTTTTGCTACTTATTATTGCTATATGTTCAAGCTTATTAAATCTTTTTCATTTTGAATCTTCCATTAACATATTTTTCTACTCAGATATTCTATTTTTATATCTACAAGTTCAATTTGTTTTTTAAACTTACATGTCTCTATTCGACATCTCATGTTTTCCTCTACCACATGAACATATGCAATATAGATACAATAACTGTTTTAATGTAGATATCTACTAATTCTTTCATCTGTATCATTTATACATCTGTTTCTATTGAATAATTTTTATGCCCTTTTGTGTTGTATTTTCTTGATTCTTTGCATGCCTGGTAATTTTTTACTGGACAACAGCCATTGTGAATTCCACTTTGTTAGATATCAGGTACTTTTTGTATTGTAATAGATCTTTGTTCTTAGATAATGTTAAGTTACTTGGAAACAGTTTGATCCTTTTGAAGCTTGATTTTCCGCTTTGTTATGTGGGACTAGAGGAGACTTTAGTCTTGAAATGAATTTGCAACACCATTGAGTCCATATCCTTCTGAGTACCCTACCCCACATTCCATGTGTTACAAGTTTTTCCACTCTAGTTAGTGGAAACACAAATTATTCCCAGAACTGCTGTTCCACCCACTGTTTTTCAGTGGTCCTTTCCTCAATCTTGGGTTGTTTCTTTTTATGCATGAGTTGAGCAGTACTTAGAAAATTTGAGAAAAACCCTCTGCAGATTTCTGGCTCTCTTTCTCTTTCTCTCCCTTTCTCTCTGCCCCTTCCTCCAGCTCTTCACTCTCCATGAAGCTCTATTTTCTTCTCTGCAAGACACCTTGGCCTTCCCAATTTCTCAACTCTTTTTCATCAACTGAGAAAGTTCACCATGCACTATTTGGGTTCCCCCCCTCCCTACATTGTAGCCTAAAAATTCTCCCCAGGCAGTAAGCACGTGCAATTGTAGAGCTCACCCTTGTTTATTTCCTTTAGGGATCACTATCCTGGGCTGCCTTTGTTCAATTTCTGAAAAACACTATATATTTGTTTACTTCTTGGTGGTTGTTTAAGACGAGAGGGTAAATTTGGCCCCTGTTACTTCCTATTAGCTGGAAGCAAAAGTATCCACTCATATTTTTCACAGGTAGTCAAACTCAATCTACAACTGAACTAATTTCTATCTCCTCCTCCCACATTCATTGTTCCAACCACAAGTCCTAAAAAACAAAAACAAAACAGCACTGCTCCTGCTCCAGTGTTCCCTGTTTTAGAAAACAGCACCACCGAATCATACAAGCCAGGAACCTAGAAGTTATCCTTTTCTCCTCCCCTTTTCCTCACCCCATAATCTAATGAGTCACCAAATTCTTTCTATTCCTCCAGTCATTATCTTCATCCTGGACAACTGCAATTACTTTGTGGCTGGTCTCTAACTCCAAAACTACCCTACTCCAATCTATTATTTATATCAAAGCAACTGTCATTTAGCCTTAGTCTATACACAAACAACAACAAAGAGCTGCAATTATATCTTTGCCTTTACTTAATGTGTTTATTGCAGTGGTATGGGTATAGTATGGAGGTACTTCAAAAAGTTCATGGAAAGATTCATATTATCTTTTTTTTTTTTTTCCTTTTTTTCTTTTTTCGTGACCGGCAATGGGATCGCAACCCTCGGTGTTGCGCCCGCACCGCACTCAACCAGTGAGCGGACCGGTCTCTACATGGGATCCGAACCCTCTGCGGGAGCGCCGCCGCACTCTCAAGCGCCGCACTCTACCGAGTGCACCACCAGGCCGGCCCCATATTATCTTTTAATTCCATTTTTCCATGGACTTTTTGAAGTACTCCCATAATTTCAAAACTATTTTGTGTATATTATAGGAGTAGGCAAATGAGTAAATGTACCAATGTTGACTGTAGGTAGTGGTATCGATGTAAATTCATTACACATACATATATATACATGTATACATATATGTGTATATTTATACTCATATTTGTGTGTGTATATATGTGTGTGCATATGCATACGAATATATAAAAGTGTGTGTACACATATATATATATATAATATATATTTTTGTGTGCGTATGTGTTTGTCTTTACAATTTTGTCTACAGAAAGTTCCTAGAAGCAACGATACCCTAGTAGCTATGAGAACACCTATTACCCAGAAGTTAGATTCTAAATATAATTTCCCACAAACAGATACCATTTCTTCTTGGAAAAATAACTGATTCCAAGGCTGGATATGGGAAAGTACAAGATAGATCTGGAATATACTTTTATGCCATATATTAATAAAATGCTCAAAAATGAGGAGAACATATGAAAAGGAAACAGAAGCCAGATTAAATAGGATCTCAGTATTTAAATATGAATATGGGAGATTATGAATACACATTTTAACCAAAATGAATAATGACATTGATGGCTTGTAATCCATTGAATAAATTGAGAATCTATTCATTCATACTAATACTAGCTAATCAATTAAAGAGAAAATTTGATTTTTCATGCAGTAGAATGCCATCTAATAAATGTAGAATAACAAATTTAGAAAATAATTATTTGCAGCCATAATTGTTATTATTTATGCAAGAATAATCAATAGTGGCTAAAACTATTGGGTGCAAGTTGGAAGACAAACAGAATAGTCTCAAAGCACCTTTGCACAAATTACTTACTAATTATAAATTTTAAAAACTAGTAATTTTAGAGTGGAGTAACCTGATGGACATCCAAATTAACCTTACCAATAACGGGGAAACAGACATCATGCTCCTTCTTGAGTAATGCATAAATAAAGACACAACTCCGGGGTGTTACTTTCAAAAATGAATAAGTAAGATCTATTCAATGTCATGAAAGATAAAGAAATGCTCAGTAACTATACCAGCTTATAAGCTAAAGAGACATGACAATAATTGCAATGCATAATCCTGAACTGAATCCTAAATCAAGGAAAATTGCTATAAAGGATACTTTTTGGATAATTGGCAAAATTTGAATATGGACTACAAATTATAAATTAGTATTAGGTTACATTTTCTGAATTTATAATTATATTATAGTTTTAGAAAATAATTTCTCTGTTCTAAGGAAATGCACACAGAAGTATTTAAGGACAAAGGGGCATAACATCTGCAACTAATTCTCAAATGGTTCAGGAAAAAAATGTAGAACACATACACACCACACACTTGCATATACTATTTCAACACAGCCCATGATATATTATAATATATTTACCTTATTGTGATCATATTGCTGATTATACTAAACTGGTGGCCACCTAAGATCCTTTCTAACCAGTAGATTGCTCCATTTTGGAGTGTCAGGCTCATAGGTGCTCAAGGTTTTGAAAACAGAGGCATGTTTCCCAGATGTTAGTGGGCCACTCCTGTCATCCCGGCAGGGATAAGTATTTGGTTACTAAAAATGGGTGTTGTCAAACTTTGAGGTATAACAATCCAGATGTACTTGCCTAAGTGAAATCCAGAACCTTCCAAAACCAGGCCAGAGATCACGTATTGAAATGATGGATTAGAACTAATTTCCAGTGCTCGGAGAGAAGAAACTCAGCATCACATTAACCTCATTGATCAATAAACTACTGAATGCACTTTATGACTCTCTTTTAGATGACAACGGCCAAGGAGAAGATCTTTTTTTTTTTTTTTTTTTTTTTTTTTTTTTTTTTTTCCGTTTCCGGCAAA